ATTCTTATATCATGAACAGAGTAATTTAACTACATTCTATGCATGTTATTATTTACATCTTCTAGCCCCAACAATAACCCTAATCTTTCCTGAACCTAACCCTAAAGTGAAAATATCTCCAACCCTAACTGTAATCTAACTGAAACCAACCCTAATGTCGCCTTTATTAGGTTAACCTAACCCTAACTTATCCTTGGCTTAAAGCTTTACTTAATCTTTTCCAAAACTAAGCTGAAACTTTCCAGATATCCCATTTAATAACCTAACACTTCAATGAATGACGTTTAATTTATGATGACAACACTATCTGCTCGGTTTCACTAACTTGCTCAGTGGGTGTTTCAAGGTCATTGATGCGAACGCACTCCATTGGTAGTTTAGTTAGTGGTGCTTAAAGTGCAACTTGTCCCCTTTTAATTCTTTGAGGAATATAGGGCATTTGAGCTATGATATTTCAGAAGCAATGCTTATTAGCCTCAAGTCTAGTCTTCCCTTATATCAGGGCTTCCAAGGTGTAGAGCAGCATCAGACGGCCGGTAGTCGACTCTGACCTTCAGTATGCCTGATAACTATTCTATAGATTGATTCATTGAAATACGTATTGATTGGTTTTTTAGGAGAACCGCTTATTCATCCTGTATACCGTCTCATAGTATGGGAATAACCACTTTGGTGACCTTTTACGACAATAGACCAAGGTTATATCATATATATGTATTGAAAATATTAGATAACAGAGAGGAATCATCCTGAGGAATTGACAGAATGCAGAATGCATGAGGCAGCGCCAATGGATTCCATCTCATCAGGTGAAAGTGGGTGCGTCAATGACACACCGGTAAATTGCTCGTCAAACCACGCAGGTAGTTCAAGGTTCGATCCCTAACCACAGAAACACTCCTTTACCCCACTAAGGCAGTAGTAAGACTGATTAAGAGGGAAGGTTGGGCATGAGGCTAGCAACCCCATCCCATGAAAACAAAATACCCCTGCTGCCGAATCTTCAAAGCTCTAACTTGATGCCTCATGTCCTTATAGTAACGTAAAGGAATAGAAAAAAGGTGAGGCCAAGGTGACCACCTCATAGTCTAAAGATTATATAGATGCGTACTACAGGAGGAGAAGAGCCGTAAACTAGGACAAAACAGATGTTCAGGACTCCACACTGATCACCTAACTCTTTTAATGTCAATTGGTAATTAAAACATTTTGATTTCTGCTATCTAGTTCATGCGAAATCAGGGCAATACCATTCAGCTGTACGCATCCACCGAGGTTCGAACCTAGGACCTTCTGGTTACAAGGCGAGCTACCTCATAGACCATTGAGCCAATCGGGCTTATGCTTGACAATTAATCCGATGTTCACTAGCTAGCAACGGACCCTATTCAGTTAGGTAGTTACCTGGGGTTCTAGGGGAAGCCGTGACCAGTAGAGTACAGCAGGTTGAAGATGAGGCAGTAACTCATCGAAGAAGACATTGCAAAATAGTCGAGCTATGTCGTGAATTGGTAGAAGTTAGAATTCATGGGTTGGCCATTGGATCGGTTGGGTCCCAGTGGCTCAATAGTCTACGAGCTCGCCAGCCTTGTAACCAGAAGGTCCTTGGTTAGAACCCTGGAGGTGGATGAGTGCGTACTGTTGAAGCGTCCCAAACTAGGCAGACGAAACAGCTGTCCAGTACTCAGTAATGCCATTTATTTGATCCCACTATTATTATCCCATATTTTAGATAGCAAAAGAGGGGGAAAAGCTCCCTAAAATCTCCAATAAAATAAACATAAAACAGAAAAAGACAAAACTGGTCTCCATTAATTCATTAATTAATTAATCCTGAAGAATGAGTCATTCCGAAAAGCAAAGAGAACAAAAAAAATGGTATAAACAGTAAAAAAAGGGGCGTGAACCAGTTTAATGGAAACAATAAAATTATAACTATGGGGAAGAATATTTAGAAAAGAGGGGCTTACATATTATTACTATTATTATTATTATTATTTATTATTATTATCCTTTCTCACCTCTTTAATATGACGTTTAAATAACTAAGAAACGCCATTAATATTTATGGCATGATAGTATTACTTATTCATACGGAATGGTAGAGTCAGCAAATTCAAAGGGGGAAAAATCTCAGTTTACCTAGATTTAATCAATAAATGTTTCTTTTAAGTATATATATATATATATAAAGTAACTTCAATCAATAGTTTAGTTCACTTGGTAGTTGATTAAAGACATTAGTCTACTCAAAGTTGCCCATTTTAGGATATATATATATATATATATAATAACTGGGAAAAAATCGATATTGTTGAACACACCTCAAAACCAATTTTATGACTATAGATGTTGAATAATAATAATAATAATCTGATTGGTGGATAGTGGCCTATCACATTATTTGTTCATGACTATGCGTAGTTCTGATGAGACAACATTGCTACGAACAGATGACATTTATGCCCTGGAAAAGAGTAGGAAATTAGGGGCTGTCAATAACCCAGTTAGAATTGGAGCAGACAGAATCTGTGGAGGTTTTGGCTAGGGTTCTGTCTGTCTGTCTGTCTGTTTTCGACATAGAACTTTGCCCATATGTGTGGCAGTTCAAGTCGCCATACTCCCTCCATGTAGCACACAAAGCAAGAGAAGAAAGTAGAAGAAATGCATAATAGATAGAGACAGTAAACAGAGGTGTGAGACAAAGGAATAGTAGTAACGAAGAACAATATAGTTTCATTGGAAATCATAAGTTACATGGAGTGGATGCATCTGCGCCATTGAGCCATGTCACCAATTGTTTCCAACCATTGGTTTTTACCGTCCAGAGGACCCCAACCAATCAGAAAGTCTACACCTCCCTACGTGACTGGCTGGCCTAAACTAACTGTTGTAGATTTCATTGACTGGTGAAGCCATGTTTTTGTTTGACCGCCGCTAGCTCTTTACCAACCTGACCCTATATCAGCTAACATTGCCCATTGTCGAGGAAGGCGATGACCAGGTATACGTAACACATGTCCTAACCATCTCAGTCTATGTAACTTCACAGCTTCGTCGATTGATTTCCCTTCCTTACCTACTGCTCACCTTATTATACCACTTCACACGAGAAATAGAATGTAGGCAACTATGATCAAAGACAGCTAATCTTTTCATGTCTTCCACTCTCAATGGCCAGGTTTCACAACCAGCCATAAAGGAGGACGGAGCGGACTGAGTGAGCAGTAAACCTGCCCTTTGGTCGATAGTCGGATATTCATCTACGCCTGAGACGGCGTAAACTGGCATATGCGAAACTAGCCCTCTGGCTAGGATTAGGGTTGAATATTTAAGTTTCAGTTAATGGAACCCAGGTTCGAGTTCCGTTGTGCTTACTTCCGGCCTAGGCAACTGAGTAGTAATAGTGTTGTCAAGCATTATATAATATAAGTGACTTAGTAGTTTTCTATAGTTGGTTTGTAAGGATTAGTTTTGTTTTTACGAGTTGATTACGGATTGATATCAGTTAGGGAACCATTGAAAACAAGCACTACAGTAGCGGACAGCTGTTTCATCCCAAAGTGCGAATCATCGTAGGTACGCAAGCACTGTTCATTGGGGTTCGAACTCAGGACCTTCCGATTACAAGGCAAGCTCGTATACCACTACTCAGCCACTGGGACCCGATTCAATGGCTCATGAATTCTAACTTCTACCATTCCGTGATTTAACGCGACCGCCAAGCAATTTCGTCGGTGGGAAATCCATCCTCACACTTGACTGGATAGATCTCACTAGTCACGACTTCTCACTAGAACTCCAGGAAACTCCATCCTGTAGCGAGTCGTCACTATCGAGCATCAGGTTAATTTTCTATAGTTAGTTTGTAAGGATTTGTTTTGTTCCTACCGGAACGCCCTGGGTTCTAACCCCAGTGAACAGTGGGTGCGTACTGCCGATGACTCCCAAACTAGTGCGATGAAACAGCTGTCCAGTACTCCAGTTCTGGTTTTCAATGGTTCTCTAACTGATATCGATCCATGATGAACTCGTAAAATCTTTGTAGTTTGTTACATGAACATTAGTGTTCCGGGTAACTAAGGTCTGTCTGAGTACTTCATTTGCAATATCTACTCACACTAAAGTCTTTTCCATCTTTGAGTTGAGAATGAGACCTTGAAGATTGAGTTTTGAAGATTTTATGGCGATGGACTGCTTTTTTTTTACACTGAATGTGATTTAAAGACTCAAGCCAAAACGTTCTATTCTATTAGGCTTATTGCTGGAGACTAAGGTCCGTCTGTCGGGAATAGAACTTGAACCACTTTGATGTGACTGGAGATACACACGACATTAAATTAGTAGTAAGAAAGCACACTGCAACTGATCTGGGTTTGACTTCTTTCCGAAAAAGACTAAAGCTCTCTCTCTCTCTCTCTGGGTCCTTATACTCCGGCTAGTTCAGGTTGACATCTTCAATGAATAGTTTGCCTTTTATGCTTATCGAATTAGAAGATATCCACAATTCGTAATTCTACCATCAACTAGCGGTGACAGAAAGTGTCTGTGGTGCGTGTAATTCCGTCAAAAAGAACTACACAACTTGATAAGTCACAGTGTGGTGAGAGCAGCTGTCTGCAAGCCAAAAACTGTAGACAACAATTTACGTCAATATTGACATCCCAAATTAGGGTCATGAAAAAAACGAGAACAAAGCTTAACCTTGAGGAACTAAACAACCAATCACAAGAGAATCACCGTGTGAAAATATGATTCACAGTATATGGCTTAACTTTCTTAGAAACGGTCACAACCAGTACGGAATAACATTCAGCTGGAAAACAACCAATCAGACGCTGTTGCTTCTCCGTTGACAATAACGTCAATAAAAATCTATAAATACCCCTTGAATTTCTCAATAAACGATTTGTTGCCTAGACCTTGTCTTCTGTCGTTACAAGAGTAGGGATAAAAGGAGTAATGAGAACGTCTCAATAAAACAAAGATGGATTACTTACAAAGCGTTGTATCGTTTGTGGTTTAGATTCATCCCTCAGGATAAAACGTCCTTCTTGATTTTCAGCTGTCCAATCTAACTGAACTAGAAGAGGTGCTTCATCAGCTCCAAGACGACGTTCTGCAGAGGTGAGATAAGAAAAATGAAAGTAGAAGACATCAAGATATAATGTTTTTATCGATAAAACATCCATATAGCGAAAATATTCATTCAGACATCTATAAAACACAAAATAATTGAGCGAAGAAAATCCTTTTCGATAATTTTCTCCTCTTCTGGCTCTACAATTATATATGCATGTTTATATACATAGAATATTCTAGATTAGTAGTCAATAACAATATCGCCAGATACTAGCTTGCTAGGCTACTAGCTTACTAGTTTTCTCGCCGGTCCCAAGCCCGGGTAAAGAGGGAGGGTTGGGGCGTGGTGCTAGCAACTCCACCCCTGTAAAACAACCAAATCGCTACAGAAACTTCAACGAATAAATATATTAAAAATTCTAAAAACATAAGCAATAGCCTTACTTTTCGCTGGAATCGGGGAAGTGAAATGACGCAGGCTGGTGAAAGCCTTCGGGAAGCCAGTCAGCCGATGTGCCTTCTTTCGATGAAAGCAAAAGTAAGGATGGGTACCTGGAATGTTCGTACAATGTACGAAACTGGAAAGGCTGCCCAGATAGCCGCTGAAATGAGAAGGTACAGAATAGAAGTGTTGGGAATCTGCGAGAGCAGATGGAACGGAACTGGAAGGTGCCAACTACCTACTGGAGAGACAGTAATCTATTCCGGCCACCCAGAGGACAACCATGAGCACACCGAGGGAGTGGCCATCATGATGTCACCAACAGCAACCAAAGCTCTCATGCAGTGGGAACCAATCTCCTCCAGGATAATGACAGCCAGGTTCAACTCAAAAGGAAGGAAAGTTACAGTCATTCAATGCTATGCGCCTACAAACGTCTCAGAACAAGAGAAGAAGGAGGCGTTCTACAGACAACTACAAGCAATAATGGACAACGTCCCAAATGGCGATATCAAAATCCTGATGGGCGACATGAATGCGAAGCTGGGAGGAGACAACACAGGAAGAGAACTCACCATGGGTCGTGAGGCCCTCGGTGAAATGAACGACAATGGTGAACTCTTCTCAGACTTCTGCGCCTTCAATGATTTGGTGATTGGCGGTAGTGTGTTCAAACACAAGGATATACACAAGACGACATGGATTTCACCAGATGGAAACACCAAGAACCAAATAGACTTCATCTCAATTTCAAGAAAGTGGAGACGGAGCCTACTGGACACAAGGTCAAGGAGAGGAGCAGATGTGGGTTCAGACCACTATCTAGTAGAAGGGACTTTCAAGGTGAAACTAAAAGCCTCGAGGATAGCTGGGGATAGGCCACAATGCAAGTTCAACACTCAATTACTGAAGGACACAACCACAAAAGACACTTTCACTGCAACTGTCAGAGCAAAGCAGGAAACACTACGCGACATCACTGAAGAATCATGCGTGGAAGAACATTGGAAGTCTCTGAAGGCGATTCTCAACGAAACGTGTTCAACGGTTCTAGGAAGAAAGAAGAGACAAGACAAGGAATGGCTCTCAACGGACACTTGGAAATTAATAGAAGAGAGGAGAATGGTGAAAGAGAAAATGATTCAATGCAAGGACGGACAGGAGAAGGAGACGCTGAGCTCAACTTACACAGCACTGGACAAAGAAGTGAAGAAGAGTGCTAGGAAGGACAAAAGACGATTCTACGACAACTCTCCACTGAAGCTGAGAAGGCAGCAGGCAAAAGGGACCTGAGGACACTATATCAGATAACCAAATCTCTATCCGGGAAGAGATCAACACAAGCGAAACCTATAAAAGACAGCCAAGGGAACCCAATTACCAAGGAAGAAAAACAGATTAAACAATGGGCGGATCACTTCAAAGGACTCTTGAACCGACCATCACCTGCAACCCGTCCAGAAATACCAACAACAGCGCGCACACAACTGCAAGTTGACACCAATCCTCCAACGAGAGCTGAAGTCTTGAATGCAATCAAGCTTCTGAAAGCTGGAAAAGCAGCCGGACCAGATGGAATACCCCCTGAAGCACTGAAAGCGGACCCAGAGACGACAGCAGACATGCTGACTCCATTATTGCAAAAGGTCTGGAAGGAGGGAAAGGTGCCTACTGACTGGAGGAAAGGTTACCTCGTGAAACTACCAAAGAAGGGCGACTTAGGCCTCACTCTGCAAGAACTGGCGAGGAATCATGCTCCTATCGACGCCAAGTAAAATCCTGAGTCGCATCATCCTGGAGAGATTAAAGGACGCACTGGAGACAGAACTCCGACCAGAACAAGCTGGATTCAGGAAAGGCAAATCATGTACTGACCAAATTGCAACTCTACGCATCATCATCGAACAAAGCATGGAATGGCAATCAAACCTCTACCTCAACTTTATAGACTTTGAGAAGGCCTTCGACAGCGTTGACCGGGAATTGAATTACTCGAGTACTATGGCGTACCCCAAATATTCATCAACCTTATTCAACAGCTGTACGACAACGGCACATGTCAAGTGATCCACAACGGAAAACTCAGCGAGGCGTTTGGAGTAAACACAGGAGTCAGACAAGGGTGCTTACTATCACCAATGATATTCCTAATTGTGGTGGACTGGATTATGCGTCAGACAGTGAGTGGGAAACGAGAAGACAGGAATATCCTGGACCGACGTGAAGAACCTAGAAGACCTGGATTTCGCGGTGGATGATTTATGTTTGATGTCACACACAATCGAAGACTTACAAGCGAAAACCGACAAACTGGTCGAAGAAGCAGCCGGCGAAGACAGGACTCCAGGTAAACATAGACAAGACGGAGGTTATGAAAATAACCAACCAACCACAACAACAACAGCAGCACAATATCCAGCATCGATCACCATCAACGGGAGGGATTTGAAAGAGGTTACTTCATTCACTCATCTAGGGAGCATTGTCTCATCTAGGGGCAGTCGGAACGGACGAGGATGTCAAATCGAGCGAGAATCGGGAAGGCGAGAAACACATTCATCAACCTGAAATCAATCTGGAAATCTTCGTCACTCAGCATCACCAACAAAATTCGGATTTTCAATACAAACGTAAAGTCAGTTCTTCTATACGGATCAGAAACTTGGGCGGGCGGGTCACAAAGAATATTTCCAACAGGCTAACTCAGACCTTCATCAACAACAACTGTCTTCGCTGGCTGTATACTGAAGATCAGATGGCTGGGCCGGAAAGAATCACCAACAAGAAACTATGGGAACAACCAAACAAAACAAGAACCAATTGCCCAACAAATATGCAGGAGAAAGTGGAGATGGATCGGACACTCGCTGAGGAGACCGCTGGGTGACATCGCGCGTCAAGCCCTCGAGTGGAACCCGAAAGGGAAGCGGCGTGTGGGACGTCAGTGTAAGGGTGACATGAAAGAGATCGTGTGAAGAGGAGTTGAAACACTATGGACTAACTAACATGGATGCAGGCGAAAAGTACAGCATAAGACAGAAGTGGCAAGTGGAGACGTGCAGTTGAGGCTCTATGTTCCACTAGGAACCCAAGGGAGCAATAATAATAATAAATAATAATGATAATAAAGATATAATATAAACTAGAATACCAACTGAAGTCACAAAAATTCCACAAAAAGTGAGAATCATTCAAATCTAGGTGGCCAAAGTGAGGATAATGTCTGAATTAGCTTCTTCTTTTGGACGCACAAATTAGGCTTCTTGATGTGGATCCCAGCAGCCAGCGTCAGCAATATTTAGTAATCAAAGTCTTAAGGTGAAATTAAGATTTATTGGTTCGCGGTAAATGACCCTGAAAGCACAATTCACATCGATCTTGTGTTCTGTATCCACAAGATGAGATAGAATAGGGCTATGCAAATAGATACTGTTTTTACTTTACTTAACCAGCCACGCAGGGTGATTTTCAAAAATCCGACGAGAAACACGCCCAATTGTACGGCCTAGGTAAAGAAAAAACAACCACTTTTTAACTCAATCTTTGGGTTTCAGAAAGATTTTGTTCAATCCCTCTCCCTTCTATGGCCTTCAGATCCTTCAACTTGGAATCGTTATTGCTCCTGACGACACCCGATAACAGTAAATATTATTTTTATTTGTAATGCTAACTTTATTTTTGAAGTATTCGTTTTGTAGAGATCTTGTTTGATTGGTTGGAGGATTTCATCATGAACTGAAATTAGTTAAAGAAACACTGGAAAACCAGCTGAGAGTGCTGGACAGCTCTTTCGTCCTAGTTTGGGACTCTTCATCAGTACGTACCCACCCTCCTCCATCGTTCGAACCCAGGACTTTCTGGTTACAAGGCGAGCGAGTTCGTAGACTACTGAGCCACTGGGACTCGATTCAATGGTCAGCCCATGAATTCTAACTCCGTCAACTTACGACATAGCGTGACCCTTTCGCAATGCTTTTCTCGATGAGTTATTGCCTCATCTTCAACCTGCTGTACCCTAATTTTATTATCGTAACTCATACTGCACTATAGTTGTATATCCTTATCTTACTTTCACAATTTATAATTATTATTATTATTCTGCTTGATTCGATTTGGTTTTATGGATCCACATTCTTTTTCAAGTGTTTATGACCAATATTTTATTATGTAGTTGTAAAACCTTACAAGAATTTACCAAAAATACTTAGTTGCTTCTTTAAATTGTGTTCTGTTAACACTAAATGGTGCCCTATGCTTAAGAAGTAGCGCTAATTGCTCAGTTGCCATGGAAGATTGTAATAGAAGAGGGCGAGACACGGAAGCGAAGGTATCTTTTTCATTGGTCAAATCGCTCTTTATATATATATATATATCTGTATCTCACCACCACATACGTCTTTCCTCCCCCACTAAAATACTTTCGACCGAAATCGGTTCAACCTTCTTGGTAATGGTAGTTTTGTTAGTTTGTCTTGCTGTATCCAGTTCCGAAGCTCTCTGATTTTTATTCAATTTTCTTTGTTTGCACTTTTGACGGTATATACATGACCCCGTCTCACAGTGAGCAGGTATGGTCCTTCCCACTTTGGGAGCAGTTTAAATGATCCTGACGCGTGTTCGCCAGTGTTTCGCCTCACACTTTCATATGCTGCCGTCGCCGTACCTCCCAGAAGCCTCGACGCTGACGGATCTTGAACGCCATTCAACTGTGCAACAGCGTCCATGTCCTGCCATAAGATCCATATGCTTCCTTCTTTAAAAACTGTAGGGCATAGGCTTTCCATTTATCGGCAGACAGTGACATCACATGTAACAACAGAAGGCGAGATACCGGAAGCCACTATTTATATGTGCACAGTTCATATTCTTAAACCAATCACTGAGCGTGTGATTTCGGCACACATTAAACATGTGGAATGGAATGTTCAAATATACATATCTGGTATTCTGTTGTTAATGCAGTATTGAACTGTGGAATATGTGAGAATAATATCCCGTTGGAACGTATTGTCTGTATGACATCACCACAATATGAGTAAACTCTGACGTTTAAGGCGATGGATGTTAAGTTCCAGCCAGACTCGTTTGAGTACGATTGACGAGTCGCAAATAGGACGAAACTCATGTCATGGTTTTCACTGGTAGCTACTACCAAGTGATATGTAATCCTATTTCCTTAAACTAATTCTAGAAAATAGTTTACAGTGTTCACTCAGCATCATTTAAGATAAATGTCTATTCTAATTGAAATCAACTCTCTGACTTGTTGGTATTAGATGGTTGGAAGCAATCGGCCACAGGAAGTCTTGTCAAGACCTAGGTTTCGTGCTAGTGGGCACTCACTAGTCAGTAAGGCGTATCTGCAACTGCCTTGAAGGAACAACTCATATCCCTTTTGAGATTCGAACCCGCGTAACCCAGTGCCGCCCGCAGTCAGGGACGTTACGACTGAGTTATTCGGGCTCGCGATTGACCTCCTGTGGGACTAACTGTATTGGATATTTTGGATTGGACACTTGTCAGTAACTGGTGTAATGTGTCTAGTCCTTGGTGTTCGGTGCAGACTGAATTGTATCAAGCAATAAAGGTTAATAAAGCAGGATTTAATGAATTCATCAAATTTCAGTAGAACTCTTCACCTGAATACTCTACATACACGGATATATATATACACTTTTAAAATTACATTGGGAGATATAAGACTGATAAGTAAACAAGCTACATTGAATTAGTCATGCAGAAAGACAACAAGTGCGAATATTTTCCAGGTCATGTTCGAATAGATAAGGGGAGAGAGAGTATGAGAGATCAAAATGAAGATAAATTGCACTACGCTTCAATTACATCACTTAGATAAACAATTAGGCATTGGGGAATATAACGAGAATTGCAAACAGACTAATATCAATAGTAATAGTTATAATAACAACAATAATAATAGTGTTGAAGTGAGTTAAGATAATCCTATTGATAAAGGATAGTTTTGAATGAATCAAGAATAATAATAATAAGAGGTAGAATAATAAGTAAAACGCATTACCATGGTAATTCAGAGTGACGATCGTCTCCTTTTGTACACAGAGACCTGATTTATAAACTCGAATTTCACAAGCCTCTGCAGTTGCAAGCATCTTCTTGTTTCTTTGTCTGCTGACAATAACAGTGAATGACTTGACCACGTCGATATCATGTCCGTAGTTCATAAGATGTTTTGTTATTGAGGATTTTTGGCACTTTGCACTCAGCTGTTTTCAACCATTTTGGCAAATACTCCCTCCATCATGCAATGAGTAGACAATCACCTTTCTGTACGACCTATGTATTTGCTTCCCTCCACAGAGACACTCAAATTCTATCAGTCAGTCAGGTTTGCAATATGGCCACTATGCCACTAGATGGCTCGCCATTACCATCTAAAACCAAAAATTCGCAGCTCACCGTAATGGCAAGCCACCTAGTGGAATGGCAGCCGCATTACAAGCTTGAGTGATAGAATTCAGTCTGCAACAAATACCATAGTCTAGACACACACACACAGTACCCTGGTTAATGATTAGTTCTCAATCAAAAAGAAATCAACTCTCTCTCTGTGTCTTAAATACACGAAAATTTCCATTATACAACTTAGCAATTACCTCCAGTATTTGAATGGTATTCATATATTGCATAACGTCCAGCTGTAAGCATACGTAAATCTGGATGAAATTTTTCTACAAGTATATTCACAATTGTCGTGCAGTGGCTGTATTTGTTACGCGTAAACATTTACTCTGATATTTGCCGTCATCTCCACGGAAAAAGAAGCGTACCACTCCACTGAATTCATTACGCTGTAAGAGAAGAAAATTATTACGAGAAGAGATTTAGGTTAATGCACGAAATTAACAGTACAGGGTTCGATTCCCTGCTGACAGACTCACGCCTAAACCTTACCCAGTTGATGACAAGTTCGGAAAAGATAAGGGAAGACTAGAAAATCACACCTTGTAGAAAACAGTAACGCCCAATACTGAAAATTCAGGGTCGACAGCCTGAAGCCTTATTATTATTATTGTTCTCTTGGGTTCCTAGTGGAACATAGGGCTTCAACTGCACGTCTCCACTTGCCACTTCTGTCTTATGCTGTACTTTTCATCTGCATCCATGTTAGTCCATACTCTTTCAACTCCTATTCACACGATCTCTTCCATGTCACCCTTGCACTGACGTCCTACTGCCGCTTCTCTTTCGGCCTGGTTCCACTCGAGCAATGGCCTGACGCGCGCGCGATGTCACCCGGTGGCCTCCTCAGCGAGTGAGTGTCCAATCCGTCTCCACTTTCTCCTGCATATTTGTTGTTGTTGGCCGATTGGTTCCTGTTTTGTTTGTTTCTTCCCATAGTTTCTTGTCTGTGGTGATTCTTTCCGGCCCGGCCATCTGATCTTCAGTATACAGCCAGCGAAGACAGTTGTTGTTGATAAAGGTCTGCAACAGGCTCCTGTTGGAAATATTCTTTGTGACCCGCCTGCCCGCCAAGTTTCTGATCCGTAAAGAAGAACTGACTGATTTGACATTTGTTTGTATTGAAAATCCGACGGAATTTTCTTGTTGATGCTGAGTGACGAAGATTTCCTGAAGCCTAATGCGTAAAAAAATAGCTGTGCACTATGCTATAGGTTCCTTGTTCAGTAGTGCTCATGACGTGTCAAAATATGTTCCAAGGGAATGACAAATTGTTAAGCACAAGGGGTATTGATCCATTGTAAAACGGTATCAGTTATGGAGATATAATTAGACACATTTAGAAACCTTTAGTTAGCATAACACTCTTTTTAGGCACTGCTTATTTGGCCAGTAATCAGACACAGCATTCCTCGGGACGGTAAAAACCAGTGATGGGTGGAAACAATTGGTGATATGGCCAGCTCGAAATCGTTCTCAATGGCTGGACCAGATGCATCCACTCCTTGTGATTTATGATTTCCGATGAAACTATATTGTTCTTCGTCATTACTATTTTTGTCTCATGTCCCTGTTTACTGTCTCTATTATGCATTTCTTCTACTTTCTTCTCTTGCTTTGTGTGCTATATGGAGGGAGTTTGGCGACTTAAACTGCCGCACATCGGTGTAAAATTCTATGTCGAAAACAGACAGACAAACAGACAGCTTTCAGGGTGGAGAAATAATGAACAGTGCTGAGCACATATCTTTATATTTGTGATTCTGAAGCAGGAAGATGTTGAAAATTTTGATTGGTCAAGAACCATTGAAGCCAAAAACTGTCTCGCCTATCTCAAGGTTATTCAAGTATTGGTTTGTAGGGATTTGATTGGTTTCAGGATTTCGTCATGAGCTGACATTAGTTAGAGAACTATTGGAAAACCTGCGAGTACTGGACAGCCAGCTGTTTCGTCAGCCTAGTTTGGGACTCTTCATCAGTACGCACCCACGGGATTCGAAACCAGGACCTTTGGTTACAAGGCTAGCGATTTCGTAGACCATTGAGCCACTGGGACCCTATCCAATGGCCAGTGGATGAATTCTGACTTCTGACAATTCACGACATAGCGCGACCGCTAGTCAATATCTACGGCGCGTATTTATCCTCACACCCGACCGGCTGCACCCTACTGGTCACGACTTCTCACTAGAACCCCGGGTAACTACCTACCTGAATAGGGCAAGTCGCTAGTGAGCATCTCATTAATATTCAAGTATTGGTTTGTAGGGATCTGAGGACAAATACTCGCCGAAGACATTGGCTAGGGGTCGCGCTATGTCGTGAATTGGCAGAAGTTAGAATTCATCCACTGGCCATTGGATCGGGTCTCAGTGACTCAATGGTCTACGAAATCGCTAGCCTTGTAACCAAAAGGTCCTGGTTTCGAATCCCCGTGGGTGCGTACTGATGAAGAGTCCCAAACTAGGCTGACGAAACAGCTGGCTGTCCAGTACTCGCAGGTTTTCCAATAGTTCTCTAACTAATGTCAGCTCATGACGAAATCCTGAAACGTATCTCAAGGTTGTTGTTCTCAGTCTTAAATCAGTCACTTAAGGAACACGACTACTTTCATTGATCTCTCTGTGGTAACCACAAAAGCACACGAATTTTCATTCAACAAGAGAAATGATCAGTGATTTGCATCGCTTTGTAGGAAGTAGATTTGATCTCTATACCCTAACTGCTGATTTGGTTATTCTACTCATTATTTTTCTCAATAATACCATTAAAGATGCTAGATAATTGAAGTACTTCTACAACATGAAATACTGACAGTGGAGAAAAACCCGCCTACTCAACAGATATACAGAATAAAATCGAGACGGATGGATTAGGCATTTTAAGTAACTCCGACACTCCAGACTCTAGAGTAGGACTCCATTGAGAGGAAACAGATTGTGTGTCTGAGTGTTACACATGAAGTAGACCATGTAATGAGGAGACGAAAGATTGTGGGAAACACTGTGAAGCCATTTAGAAAAAATAGTTATTTAACCATGGCGAAAGTTCACATTTACTTAATCTCACTAAAAATTCGGCATTATATTATTACAAAACATTTATCAGGAACTGATTGAATGGACTTTCAGAGCAGAACTTTGCATGAAAAGTGAAACATTTCAAATTACCGCACTTCATAAGAGAAATCTACACTTGTTCAAATGGTTGGTCACAAAATTAACACTAATGAGCACTCCTCAATTATTTCACATCGCTGTGAAGCAACGTTATTTAATGTTTTATACAATGGGCATTTTTAGGAGTTTGGAATGTAGACTTCACCACGAACTAATATCAGTTAGGCAACATAGAAAACCAGGGAGCGTTGAGCAGCTTTTTCATCCCAGTTTGAAACTCGTAAGCAATACGCACCCACCATCCCACCAGAAATAGAGCCCAGAATCTTCAAGTTATCAGGTCATTCAGCTGGACCGAACTCAATGGTCTGTGAATTCTAACTTCTTAAGTGCTGGTTTGTAAGGATTCAATTGGTTTCAGGTTTGAGTACGAGTTGACATCAGTTAGGGAACCCCTGGAAAGCCTCAGAGTACTGGGCAGCTGTCTCTTCTCAGTTTGGGACTTTTCAGCTTTTGGATTGACTTCGGGTAGCTGAATGGTTTACAAGCTAGCTCGCCTTGTAACCAGAAGTGTGTACTGATGAAGAGTCCCAAACTACAGCGAAACAGCTATCTAGTACTCCTAGCTTTTCCAGTGGTTCTCTAACTAATGTCACCTCGTGCTCAAACCGGTAACCAATTGAATCCTTCTACACAGGAGGTTAACCAGAATTCTAGTGGGAAGTTGTAACCACCAGGATTCACCAAGTCATGCAAGGGATCAGTTACTCGTGCATGATATATATATATATATATATATATATATCAGAATTAGCATTCGCTTCTCCAAGCTTGACAGAATGTCGTAGAAACTCACTAAGACCCTTTACTGTCAATCGGTCTTTGCACGCTTTTAAATCACGAAAAAAACCCATTTATTCATAAGTAAAAACACAGTTTTTTCGTTCGGCGAAGAAATTTCTTTTCAACGACTTTCCAAGGACCAATTGACAGTAAAGGGAATTAGTGAGTTTCTCCGATATTCTGTCAAGCTTGCGGAAGCGAATGCTAATTCTGATACTCTCAAAAGCTTCATTAAGAATGGAGAAATTCCAAAATTTAACTGGAAAATTTTACTTTGTAATCATATATATATATATATATATATATGTATCACGAATTCCAACTTTTGTCAGCTGTTAATATTGTCACAGCGTTCTAGTTAAACCATATGCCTCCTAAATTATGTGTAGAGAAACGAATGAATGTCAATCCTTCTCCACGTTGAACTACTTGACTCACTAGACAGAATGACTAGTTATCGGCATCCTTTTATTTCGTATAATTTTTATAGCCAACCCTGCTAGTTGTGAACCCCGTCTTCTGAACATTAATGAATTACAGGGTACGGAATTTTCTTTTCATAAGCCTCTCAGCTGCACAAAGCCTGTGAGGTTTACGTTTATTATCCAGTTATCTAGATTGTATTAGGCAGAGATAGGCTCAAAACAGGAGCACAGTGATTTCATAGAAATTTGAGCCTACTGCTGAAGTATGATTAGCACAGTGGAACATAGAACATCAATTTTTTGATTTGAACTAATCGACAGAACAATAAATAATTCGTCTAAGGAAGTAGAGTCATGTTGAGTAATTCATGGTGTAACAGACATAGGACTTCATCAGCGGCAGATCTCCACTTTATATTCTGTTCTCTGAAGTCGTCTTCAGTTGGCCCTACGGTTGCCCATAAACCTTCATCTCCTACTCACATGATCTCCTCCATGTCACCCTGGGATGCTCAGATCGGCATTTTCCAATCAGCTTCCAATTGAGCGGTGACCTGGCACGCAATGTCATTCGACAGTCGCCTCAGTGTGCAGCCTATCCATCGTCATTATCTTCTACATGTTTGTCAAACAATAGGTTCCCGGTTTATTTATTCTAAGAGTTTCTTGTGTCTAATTCTTTCCGACTCTCTGATATTCAGTAAAGAGCCAGTGAAGATAATAGTTGATAGAACTCTTCAGTGGCCTGTTTAAAATGCTCTACATGACGCGTCAAAGACAAATAATTTTATAATATGTGTAATACACACGGATCTATAAATGAACCTGGCTTTTATTAGCTGAACTTCTTCAGTCATCTTAGCTGGGTTAAATGATACGCCTTTTTTAAGTATTTTTATCATCTTAAGCATAACATTAAAATTGGATATTTATCCAAAAACGAATAAAATAACAATAGATGATAACTAATTGAATGATATAAAATCAGAATCATTTCTTGTT